ATGTAGGAAGTCTGTGGTCGTGGGTGACCCAATCGAGCCGTTGACGTCCATTTCCTGCTGGGTCAGTGCGGGCCTAGATAGCACCACTGTGGGCACGCTTACACGGACTTCCCAGGGAAAATACTCCATCCCAAACTTAACTCGGACTTTCACCAGGACTGTTGGGTCCTCAGGGCCTGCAAAGGGATAACATGGCGGCTCTAAACAGGGAACAAGAGCGCCAGCGGCTGACTAACATCATCCGACAGTGGAATGCCAACAGACTCGACCTCTTCGAGCTCAGCGAACCCAACGAGGTACGTCGACTAGATTGTGGAATTTTGTCTTAAAAGTCCCACAAACCTTTCCTCAGGATTGTTTCTTCTGTGATTTTGGTATTCCTCCATGTTTGCCGTTGGAAACAGTTGTTGTGAAAATCCTTGAAATGGTCTGATAATTGTGTCAGTTGAAGGTGTTTGGATTGTGTTCTTGCGTCCAGAGTTGTCTCGTGTGACGCCAACCCTACTCTCGATTTATACTCAAAGTCTTACCTTCATCAGCTGCTATAGTTTTTAAAAACTACCAGCATAGACAAAAATGAGAATTCTATTTGGTGCAGGAAATAACGGAGGTGTGAGTTTATAAAACAGAACCGCTCAACGTATACTAAAGGTTCTGGTCTGTTTAAATTTCATTTTTACGGTCGCTTGTGCCGTGGTGGGAGCAGTTCTGAATTCTTACTCATCCGAGACCAGATAAGAATCTACAACCATAACGATTTCCACTCTTGCAGTTGTCAGACATCCAAAGGAAAAGTTACATATGCTACCAAGAGTCAGAAAGATACCTTAGTGTTCTGAATGAATGTCTAAACATCGTGTATTCAGAGAAACATACTATATTTTGTTGTGAAACGTAGGGATAGTCTCGTTCGGTTTTAAATTTTGTAGGGCGAGACCATTGGGAATATTATGGGTGGGTCACTTCCCAATTCCATGCCAAAAACTTCCGGATAGACTAGTATAAAGGAAGCAATGCATATGCATATAGGGGAGGGGGATTTTAAGGAGCTTGTGGGCTTGTGTGGTACATGTATCATGTGTTTACATACTAAAGACTCTTTTACTTCGGTGCTTTATTACCTTCGCCAAGAAGGTTATGTTTTCGTAGGCGTTCGTGTGTGTGTCTGTCTGTCTGTCTGTCTGTCTGTCTGTCTGTAAACACGATAACTTGAGAAGGCTTAAATGGATTGACTTCATATTTGGTAGGTGGGTAGGTCTTGATGAGACCTCGAAATGATTAGATTTTGGGCCCCCTGGCGGCTTCTTATGGTACTGCAGCTGAACTTCCGGTTTTGATATCTCGTGATCTGGACGTGCTAGGGTCACGAAATTTGGATGGTAGGTAGGTCTTGTGCTGGGGAATAAGTGACATAGGTTTGGGCCCCCTATCGGCTTGCTCAGGAACTGCAGGGCCATTTCTTTGAAAATATTCATAAGAGGATAATTCAAGAACCGGTGGACGGATCATCATGATTTTTGTTATGTAAGTAGCTTAAGTGATGCGTGACATAATTATGCGACAATTATGCAAATCTGGACGTAATTTGCATAATTAATGAGGAAATTCGGTAAATCAGCTGCATTACATTATAGGACTATTCAAGCTTGAGACATATGTAATTGACAACGAGAAAAACACAGGAAGATATTAATTATGTAAATTAACACTTAATTTGCATAATTAATGAGAAAATGTTATAATTCCATAATGGTAACTGCCTGGAATTTCATACTTAGGGTATTTGCAAGTTAAGTGAATGTGAACATCATTAAACATAATTTATTCAAATAAGGACCTCATTTGCATAATTTATGAGGTAATGATAGAATGGCTTTCTTTTTTAAGATAAGGCTGTCTTTTATGGATAATATGATCAACTCATATAATTCATGCAAATGAGGATCCTATTTGCAAAATCAGGAGGAATAATCTTTACTTTGTCATAAAGATTAACATCATTTGGCGAAGGTATGAGATCGTGGGACTCTAGGTTGAAGCTGCATCCCTGCATGCAGAAACCCTAATGTTTATAGATTCTGGTAGAAAATGAAGAAAAGGTCATCCAAGGCATTTTCAAATTTGAACTGTGGTAGTTAACATGTTTTGTGTGGATATTTACGTACCCTGCTTCCATGAAAAGGAATGCTGATGCCCTCTTGTTTTTGCACAATGAATGTTTGACACATGATCTGTCCTAGCCTTATGCTGGAGGCATACTTGTCAAGCAGCCAATTATTTTGCCCCTAATGCCTGTTGAACTAGGAATAGCTTTCGCCAAGGGTAGAATTCACAATCATGCAGTTGTCTGTTTGATAAATCTTCCATTGTAGAAATACTAGTAGCATAAGATTATGATTGTGATCCTAAAAAGCAAGAATGCATGTATATATGACGATATCACAAACAAAATTTAGAGCTATTACGGGTACGTACCTAGGTAAGAAGGCATGACACATTTAGGGGACCTAAAAGCAACTAGTAACCTGTTTATCTCGGTAAGAAGTGCAGCATGTATTCGTAGCAAGGTGGTAGTAATTTGTGTTATCAGAACGTATCAGCTCCTAAAACAGGCCAATAGAAACATTCTCCAGAGACAGATGCATGGAATATATGTCCTGTATAGTTTTTGGTGTCTTTCCAGAATTTTGCCATGCTTTTGTGATGCTGGCAATGACAAATGGACATATTGATGATAAAACCATTCATGCTCCGGAGACGCTGTCCAGCGCGCTGGGTACTGATTAGTATTTATGCTTTATGGGAGACGTTCAAATGGTTTCCTGTCGCAATGGCTTCATTTTTAAGCCGGTGCAATTTTATCCTTATCTATATTGTATGAAACCAAGGCTTATATCATAGCCATCCCCAAATGAGTCATGGCATGGTTACAACTCTATCAACTGTATCATTGGTATGGTACAAGGATGTTGTACTCATACTGTGATGAATCATGTAACCAAAGTGCTAGAACACGCACAAGTAGACGCAACCCTTGCCTCCTCCCAATCTCATGCCATCTACCTGAAAGCAATCCCTGGTCAGAGGTGCTAAACACATCTTTAATGGTCTAGACAGGGCGCCCCGTACATTCTCGTACCGGTTTTTCCTTCGTTGACCAGCTTGCCCATAAAATCAAGCTTTCAATTGCTACTGTTTATTGATCCCTGTGGTCTCCAGAATGGTGGGGAAAGAGCGACCTAAGTGTTTGTGGTGGTGTAGGTTTGATTTGGAAGCAAGTTTGGTCGATGTGAATGTGCACTGAGCCTTTCACTGGACTGCAGTACAGGGAGACGTGGCTAATGGTATTAGGGCAGTATCGATCAGGGGGTAATGGAATTAGAGCACAACCTGGACTGAACTTTGCTAGGAAAAATGCTCATGTCATAACAGTTTTATATTATGTTCAGTCAGTGTAGTGTCACACTATTGTAAATGAAAAGGAAATCAAGTTTCGTTTCATGGATATCATGATTTTTGCTCAGTGTGTTGTTGATGTCCGAGAAATATTTTGCTTTATGGGGGTGCGTAGAAAAAGATCAGCAAACGAAGCTATAGTATCTCTGTTTATGTCAAAGTCAAAATACAAATGAGGATAGGATGAATTTTCAGTTGTCAATAAAAAGAGTTGGCTGAGTTTGTACAGGTATCAGATACTGCTCCACCCCTTACACATTATGCAAGCAACTTTTATTGTTAGGTTTATCAACTGTAAAGCAAGGTTGGACAAGTCCCATTGCCCACTTGCCCAGGGCAAGTAAAAGTACTGTTCGGGCAAGTGAATATCCCCCTGGACTTGCCCGATTGGGTAAGTATTTTTTGGATGCAAAGTATAGCCCCTGCAGTATTTCGACCAAGTTTCAAACAATTTTGATAAAGAAAGCATCCAACATTATAAACTATTACAATGAAATAATTTCCTTTCTGCTAGTAAAATGCATTGAAATGATACATATTTTGGTGAATAGTTGGTTAGGGCAAGTGGAAATAACCATGTACTTGCCCGATACGGCAAGTGGATTTTTGAAAACTTGTCCAACCCTGTAAAGGTTTTTTTATTGGGTCCAGTTTTATTGAACCTTTTCATGGCAATCAATGATTAATTGATGATGTCAGTCACTGGTATTGACAGTAAGGATCCTCCATATTCAGAAAAACAGGGTAATTCAAGAAAGTTCAATAACACACGATGTATGACTGTATGGAGCAACTTATTGATCAACTGACAAAAGTATGAATATGATTGCCCGGGTCATATTGCAGCCAAGAAATTGAAGAATACATTTTTGAAACACCTCAATTCTGGTTTCATAACTTTAAACCTTATACATGTACTTTTGGAATACTTTTGGAATGGTTGTGATTAGTTCTTTCTTTGGGTGGGTATAAGCATTTTATTGAATAGTACATACACAGACAACTTTATGATCTTGTTCATGACAAACACATTGTCTTTCTTGTCTCCTTCGAGTCTGTCTGCATCATGTATGCATGGTGGCACAAACATATAGAGGTTACATGTTGACATCTGGAGGGGCGTAGACTATATATGGGGGGCGTGATGGGTTGGCATGTTTTCCACATTACAGTGGGGCATGTATAGTTTTGAAATGTCTTTCAAGGTCTTGAACACCTGCCAAGATTTCGTGTTCAATTAAAAACGCAGCTGTATGGGTTGTGCCCAATCTATGCCTTGTGCGTGACCGTCACGTCTCTACACAGATGGTAATGATTCGTCTCTAGAATTGATGAAAATATATTATGGTACTTTGGAAGCTGAGTAATTGGTAGGAATAATTTCCTTCAACCGTGTTTTTTTTATATCAAACTTTCAAAGTTTTTACCAAATGAAATACCTTTTCGTAATCTCATACTGGGAGTGAGGTAGATTTATTATATTTATCAGATATGTCTTATTATGTCTTAAGTATTGTTATACTTATGACGCTGGCATTTTGGATGTGTAGTGTAAGAATCTCCTCTCAGGGACACTGGAGCTTTGGAGCAAGGTTTTAGAGGATGAGCAGATTAAAACCTAATCCTGCGTGAGACCTTTGGTGTTCAGGGGAAACTGCCCAAGGCCTGTTTATCCTCACTCATTCACTCACTCTGTCAAGCTCTCTTAGAACCATTCCATGCAAGTGTTTAAACATCCTAGAAATAGGGAAAATACAAGATTGGTAGTCACAATAGCATTTCATTGTTCAAAACTTCCCATTCCTTCTGTAGAAACAAAGCCCCATTGTTTCTTCTCCTG